AAGTGGCTTCAGAAGCAAATTAAGTCACTTGAACGTATAGACGTTGGTAGCAGATGTCCGACGATCGCGAAACATATCGTTTAGACAGGCCACAGGATTAACGTGCCTACTTCCTGTAGATATGTTTATAAAACATGTTGAGGATGGATGCATAAGTTTGTTGAGGCCTTAGCTACTAGGAAGGTTACACCACTTTTATGTGTTCTTTTGCCACTTTCTTAGGGTCGGTTGATAGACAGAAGCCATATAATACACAAACAAAACGTGTTGGAGACGGGAAGCACAGGCTGAATCAAGTTGTCGCATTAGTTAACTTTCAACGTTGTTGCTTGCGTTATCCCGTCACTGACTGGACCGAACTGATCGGTCTCTATTGGCAAATGAGCTCCTGCCCCGATGCCTGGGTACTGCCTGTTTTTTTAGTTACATATTATTGATGATAGTGGCTAGAAGTAGAATGCAGTAAGCACGTCTCGTTCTATTTTGGAGTTGTCAGCTGGATGCACCTACCTTCCAGTGAATGGTTGTTCCCACTGTGGCTCAAAACAGCTAGACCACCAAGCTACGATATCCAATTCTTGTGCGACGGATTCAATTTTAGTGTTGTTGGATTTCCTTGCCAGAAACAATCAATCATTAATATACAATTTTTTTGAAAAGGCAATATCGAGGCATTGGTGCAGGAGCTCATATCCCAATAGATACCTATCAATTTGGTGCAATCATAGACGGGATAACTCAAGCAACAACATAAAAACTACGCCGTTTTCACAGGAAGTGAGGGTCGTGGCAAGTTCATAGTAAGGTAGCAGGTTGTACATTGTGTCGTATGAATGAGTGAGCAAATGAATGAGGACGTCTGGGCGTATCAATTGTTCAGTCCAAGACTGAAGGACGCCTTACCTAATTTCAGCTTACCATTATGCATATGCCAATTTAACTGTTTGATCGTGTGCCGATCAAATTGCAAGGCTACGTATTATCATTGAACAGAATGGAGAACGGCAATTAACTGTCTACCTCAACTTCATCGACTTTGAAAGGCCTATGACAAAGTCGACCGAGAAGTAATTTGGCAGGCAGTCGCTTCAACACCACGGAGTGCCACAAATATTCATTAACCTACTTCTGCAGTTATATGAAGACGCCATATGCCAAGTAATCCACAGTGGAAAGCTCAGTGACGCCTTTGAAGTGAAGACAGGAGTGAGAAAAGGCTGCCATCTACTATCACCAATGATCTTCCTGATTGTAGTCGACTGGATCATGCAGAAAACAGTGAGGAGTGAGAAGAGGGGCATATGCTGACTAGACCAATGAAAAGATCCCAGAGGAAGATTCGGATTTCGCCGCCGATGATGATTTATGTCTAATGTCTTGTCGCACAAACTCGAAGATATACAGGCGGAAACTAACAAGTTGACACAAGAGGTAGGGCAGTGAACACGGGACTTCAAGTGAATGTAGAGAAAACAGAGGTGATGGAGATACACAACCACCACCAACAACAACAACAGCATGAACAGATAGCACCAATTACCATCAACGAGAGAAATCCAAATGAAGTAGTCTCCTCCACCTACCCACCTCGACAAGGCAGCATCGTCTCAACTACAGGTGGCGCCGGTGGCACAGACCAGGATGTCGAAGCAGCCAGGATGAGAAAACAGCAAGATAGGCTTTCACTCATCTGAAATAATCAGTGTGGAGATCTACTACACTGTACTGCACTGCACTGCACTGCAATCAGCACAAAGCGTCAACAACATCCACATTTCCAACACAAATATCAGTGAAGTCAGTGCTTCTATGTGATGGTTGAGAGACTTGGAGTGTCACGGAAAGCATTTCCAACAAACTGCAGACATTCATCATCAACAGCTGCCACCTACGCTCGACAGTGATACTGGAGATCAAATAGATGGTCAGAATAATGAGAATAAGCAAGAAGAAACTCACTCTGACTGGTCTGGCCTCGTCTGGCCTCGTCTGGTCTAGCCTGGTCTGGCAACGAACCAACCAACAACCCATCACCCAACAAGTATGTTGTAGAAGGGAGTGGAGATGAATTGTACTGGGCATACAGTGAGAAGGCTGACTGGGAATATCACGCGCGAGGCCAGGTTGTTGAGTGGAATAATAGGTGGAGGTGGGGTGGGGGGTAACATTGAGTTGGGCGTCCGAGGTGAGGGTGACATGGAGTAGATGATGTGAGGAAGGAATGATAGCTTGTGGGCAGTTGTGGAGTGAGGTTTGCAAGACTTGAGAGGAGAGAGTGAAATGTAGGCGTGCTTCTGAAGCCCTACATTCCAACAGGAACTCAAGGGAAAATTAATTTTAATTCCGTTGTTCTTGTGGACGTGCTGTATAGGGCACACTGTTAGACACGTCTGTCTCAGGATACGAGAATATCTACCGGTACGGTTTACAAAGGCTGAGATCAAATCCGTTAAAAGTTCTATTTTAGTATACCTTATAGATGCAGGAAGCCAAATCAATGTTAGGGAGCTTTTACTCTGATACACCGCGTAACAAAGACTCTGTCATGTACCATTTAATCACTCATTCTCCGTATAGCGAACGCTGTAGATATAAGACGAAATAAGCGTGAACTTTATATTCAAATAGGATACATCCGAGATCTTTCCTCCCTTGGCTTTCCATTGACTAAATAGTATTTTCTTAACTGTTTTGTTTCTTTCTTTTTCATTTCTGCTTTTGTCCCCGCTCTCTTCTTTTCTCTATTTTTAAACTTTAAATTAATATTATTATTACTGTTTTTTTAAGCAGACTTTCCTCCCGTCTTATAATAATCATCCTTTGAAATCCCTGTTAAAATTCTTTTTTTCCCCATATTATTACCACTTTCATTGTCTTAATCGTTTCACATATTAACCATCTATTATGGTGTTATATCTACTCGATTTCTACCTTATTGGTAAATTCATATCATCATTCTTTGTACTAACCACTCACCACAATGGCACAATTTGCAACCTGCAACTTTATTATTAATTTGTGTTCGTCATATGTCCGATCACGAATCACTTGACAAAATTTATACTCAACTTATCACTATAATTAACATACATATGTATTAATTACACTATCAACCATCCGCAAACGTAATGAATTAGAGTGTTATTGCTTGTACTACACCGTCATTGATTGGACCGAATTGATCAGTCTCTGTTGGCATATGGGGAAAGCAATAACACTAAAACTATGCCCACCGCACAAGAAGGGGCTATCGTGGCTCGGTGGTCTACTGGATAACGCTCTCACGTATGAAGCGATCGTGTGCGAGTCCGGATCCCTGTGGGAACAACATCACGCACTGGGAGGCAGGTACATCCAGCTGACGAGTCCGAAATAGGACGAAATGCGCATCCTGTATTCCACTGCTACCCCTACCCATCATTACTATACGTAAAGAATTGGACTTTAATTATAATTCCATACCCATTCCTGAATGCATTCACCATAAATTCTGGCTGTTAATGTGTTAACTGAATTGATTTTACAACTGTAAACCTTGATGAGAAGTCATTGCAAAGAATATTTTTCCTTCATGTTTGACTATCAGCATCTTAGTATAAGTATGATTAGTGGATTTTCATCAAAGAGTTACCATCTAAATAAAACATTCTATATTACTGAGTACTATATCAAATGAATAGAGTTTCATGGAAGCATACTTTACCTCGGTACCTAGATCCTACTCTAATATTAAAGATCTGAAGTAATATTCAAACAAATAGAGGATTAGAAAGCCAAATCATCTAATATAAACAATGGTCTGCTATAAGTTGATTATAACTGTTGAAACAATAAATTCTAAACTCATGTATTATTATTATATTATTTGTCCTTTGGGTTCCTAGTGGAACATAAGGCTTCAGTAACACGTCTCCATTCCCCTCTGTTCTCTGCAATCTTTTCAGTCTGCCTCCACGACAGCCCAGAAGCTCTCATTTCCTATTCATACCATCTCCTCCATGTCAGCCTTGGCACTGACGCCCAACTCGTCGTTTCCCATTCGGATTACACTCGAGGACCTGGCTTGGCGCATGTGTCCCCAATCGGCCTTCTTAGTGTATTTCCAATCCAATCCATCTCCACTTCCTTCTACATATTTGCTGAGCGATAGGTTCTTGGTTGGTTCGTTGCCAGCCACAGTGAGTTCCATGTTGTTTATTCTTTCTGGCCATCTGATCTTCAGTAACGAGCCAGTGTAGGCAGCTGTTGATGAATCTCTGTAGTTTGTTGAAAATCCCTTTTCGTAACACGCAAAGTCTCTGAACCATCATGGAGAAGCACTGACTTGACTGGCATCAGTGTTGAAAATCCGTATCTTCTTCACACTTTATGCTGAGTGCAATGTTCACACGGATTTCAGGTTAATCAACGCCTGTCTTGCTGTTTTCCGATCCTGGCTTTGATAGCCACTCCCTCAGTGTGCTCGTGGTTGTCGTCTGGGTGACAATAACGGGGTACATTACTGACTCTCCAGTTGACAGTTTGGAGAGTCCAGTTCCATTCCACTCGCCTTCGCAGATTCCTATCCTGGCACTTCTATGCGATACCTTCTCATCTCTTTTGCAATCTGGGCAGCCTTGTTGGGTTTATACGTGGTGCGGACATTCCATGTCCCCACCCTTACTTTCGTTTTCATCAAGGTACAGAAGACACATCGACCTGGCCAATTGGTTTCCTAAAGGCTTTCACCAACCGGCATCATTTCGTCTCTCTAATTCCAGCGAGGAATAAGTTTCTTTTTGTATTTTTATATTTTGTCTGTGCTTTGAAGTTTCTGTAGCGGTCCGATTGGTTTTCGAGTGTAGGGTTGTTAGCCCTATGCTCAACTTTCCCTCTTTATTCCAGCTTAGGACCGGCTAGTAACTAGTGAACCAGTTAACCAGGTAACGTTCTAAACTCATGTATACTACTATTATTCCTACCATCAAAAGTAGTAAAAATGAACTAATGAAAATAAAACTAAAACAATCAAATGTATATATTTTGTTTTAATGATAAAAAATAAGAAAATTACTGAAAATTTTGAAAAAAAATGAATGATTTATCGTTACCTTGTAAATGTTAACTGTTACAAAAACAGTTAGTATTCAGTCATTATATGAATAATAATGTTTACTTTTATAATGAACTCAATTTAATTTTTATTCTTAAAATTGTGTTTTTCAATAAGAACACTCATAGAAAAGGTTTACACAGATCCCAATTTTGCTTCTGATTTACGAAATAGTAGGATTGAGATAATCAAGAAGATACTTTGGATAATAGCGAACACAAAGCATAAACTGATTATCACAATGATGTAATGTTGTACTAACTCAGACAATACATGAACACAACCCTGTGTTTAAATGAGGAAAAAATAAAAAAAAGGAGAAAAATAGCGGTATATTTATATAGATATTCAGAAAAATATCAATTTCCCATATTGATGCAAAATTTCCTATGAATACCGGTTGTGTTAGCGGTGATGAAAATGAAATTAGAAGGTCACTTTCAAAGTTGAATATCCTAGTGGATAACGCTTTCGCATTTCATGAGATGGGTACTTGATTCAAATTCCATTGGGAAAAAATATTACTCACTGGAGTGCAATTACATTCAGTTGACCAGTTCCCAGTGGGATGAAACGTGCATCTCAAATACCAATGCTAATCAACAAGATGAATACAAAACTGAAATCACATAAGGGAAATCTTATAACCTGAAACCAGTGTGGAAATCTACTCCAATCAGCATAAAGCGTGAACAACATCCGAATTTTTAACACCAATGTCAGTCAAGTCAGTGCTTCTATGTGATGGTTGAGAGACTTGGTGGAGCGTCATGAAATCCATTTCCAACAAACTACAGATATTCATCAACAGCTGATTACGCATGATACTGAAGATCAAATATCCAGTAAGAATAACCAACATGGAATTTGGGGATATCACGCATCAGGCGAAGCCGTCAAGTGGAATTCAAATGGAAAACGACGAGTTTGGCTTCCGAGGGTGACCATATAGGGGAGACCATGTAAGGAAGGAATGGAAGCTTCTGGGCAGTCATCAAGCCAGGTTTAGGAGACTGAAGAGAAGAGAGTGAAATGGCGACGCCCTACTGAATCCCTGTGTTCTACTAGGAACCCAAGGGACAAATAATATTTAAATAATCGTAACTGTTTGCAATCGAAATTTGCTACTTCTGTGGCTATATCCAAAAGATCTGTATTGAGATCTGTATTGCCCCCCCTCCCCCAATTTCAGAGTATTCATTTGATCGAATGGAAAGAAACGGTGTTCCTATTATACTGGAATGAAACTGAATCATCTATGCAATCAGGAATCAAGAAAAAGTGACTTATGTAGTACTATAGTCTTACTCAATAGTTTTCAAACACATTGGTTTAGAAAAACTTGAGATCTTATTTTGTCTCTCTTGTCTGACTGTAATATATATTTCACAGATACTTTTCGTAATAGACTTTTGTATCTTGGTAGCACACAGCTTGCAAGCAAACTTACAGTTTTAGACAACTAGGTAAGTGTAGCAAGTTTGCGTTGTAAACCTGTGATTTGTACAGAATTATAGATAGTGAACTGTAATTGTGAGATTCTAGATTGAAATCTGATGTTCTAGAAAGTAGGAAGGCCTAAATAGAAGTATCTAGTGTGTTTCAGACTGGCAGCAGTCAAAACTACCGGAATACTCAAGGATTCATTGTCCTACATTGTTTGGAACTCTCAAGATTCACTGCGTTAGGAAATTTTACTTGGATATTTTAAAAAGGGCTTGAATAGGTTTGACAAGTCAACTCGTAGATTTACTTGCTCAAAGAAGAGTTTGTGGGCTAAGGGATTCTATGGGTCAATACAAGGAAGGCACCTCAGAAACATTACGAAGAATTCTCAATAAGGCTGGCTCAAATTAAAGTGTCTGGCATTTAAACCAACAAACTCACTCACAAACAACCTCTGTAGGTTACAAGATCCTATCGATGCAATTTAGCAAAATAATCTGGTTTACCAAATCCCTTGAATTGATTGCCAGGTCAAATACATAGGCTATTCAAAGTGGTCGACCAGCGTCGACTGGAATAACGCAGCACAAAAACTCATCTGATTCAAGATTAGTAGATCGTAATCAGATAAGAAATGTAGAGAAAAGTTCAGCTATAGCTCTGCATGCAATGACACACAATCACACAATAGTGTGGGATAGAGCGACAGTGTCAACAACTAGCTTAGTTGGGTGGACGGAGAGAGGGAGGGAGAGATTGATGACCGAATCTGCATTTATCTAATCAACACCAAATACACGTAGTGACAGAAACGATTGTGTAGCCGTCCCAGATAAGTGGAAAATACTACTACCCTTGACATCACAAAGAAGGAGAGAGAGAGAGAGAGAGTCAGACGCGCATAAAGTGTCTTGAAGTTGTAGAGTTAGTTACCGATATAAATATGGACAATAAATTGTGTCTGAAACGTTATCCAGTAAATGATACTGTCCCTTCATCGTGTGATATTTCTAATAAACAGGCCAGAATAGAATTAAAATCTACCACAATGCTCAAATTTTACCCCCTATATTAGTAAGCTAATTAAGTCCATGAAATGTTGCCATGGTTATAAGTTTAAAGGCGTAGATCACAATAGACAATCAGAATCAGACATGGTATTACAGTAGATGAATGGTAAACTTCATCAAGTACTTAGTTATATATATAAATCAGTGATTATTACTACAATCACTTGTGAGAAAAGACATCGTTTATGTAGTCTGAACTAATTCAATGATCAGAGAGATATTATATAACCATCGTTTATTGAATCAATACCCAATACATGAAATAGGAATGATTTATTTTATTGAGACGTTGAGAATTTGACAGCATGCTTTGAAAATGATTGATGAAGCTTGAAAACTGTCCAACTACTTCAAAGTGATTGTAAAAAGGTAATTATCTCTAAAGGATTATATCTTCAGACAGATGATTGTGTATCAATCACTGTCTGTTAATCATATAGGCAAGTTCACTATAGAGTATCAGGAATAGTGTTGAAAGAAAGTGAACTCCCATTTTTCTGTCATTTACTAATTCTAAATGTTTATGAAGTCAATTTTTGAGAAATTAGGTTTTCATTGAGGCTTTCTGATAATAGATAGTATCCCAATTTCTTATCTGTTACGAGTTGTGAGAGTAAACGACATGAGAAACTCAATAAATACCAATTATACCTAAAGAATTTCATTCTTAGTACGTGTATGATCACCACAAGCATACAGAAATCTTTCTGTTACCTATTCATATTAAAAAAGAAGACAGTTTCCATTCGCCATTCTTAAGCTTCAAACATTAATCTATCTATCTTCCGGAGTGTGGACTATTTCATATTCCTTAAACCCATTAAATATGTACTTCAGGTTGTTGGTTATAGGCTAAACTACTAAAAATTCTCTATCTACTGAGATTTCAGTCACTAGCTCTTAAATAATAGATGTATCTCGTTGTCTAGTTCACGAAACACACATGTGCTGGCTAATCACTATTTTAGTAGATGATGCGAATTTTTTAAAAAGGTTCGGAATGTCAGTCTCTTTCATTCACAATCATAGTATGCAGGACGAAGTTATTAAGACCAATGCTTAGCTATCCGGGTCACAATCCGTCCACTGGTAATATTTCTAATGCTAGTGAAGCTTGACATGGGTTATAATGTCTTACAGGACGTCAAATTCCTACGCTGATTACTGACGAGTTCTAATCAACATGAAAAACTTTATCAATCAACACTTCTCAGGAAGTGATAACAACCACCCAACAGCAGTCGAAGAGTATCACGACTGACAGTCACTTTAGTAGTAGCCCCATGGTGAACTTGATCGGTGGAATTCCATAGGCATGTAGGTTAAACAAGGTGGAACATCGGTTAACATCCAGTGACTATTGTCTTGTAGGACGCTGCTTAAGTTACACATACAATTAAAAAATCTTTAAAATACACTCGTTCTATCGTTAACCTTTGTTACCATTTGTAATTTAGACTATATTAAAGGTAAGTTGTAGAATATTTGTTCAACAAGGCGAGAGAAACTAACGCAATAATAGGGCATGTCTTAAGAGATTACAACTTTAGTGTTGAAATGGTCTGAATAATTAACTTTTTATAGGTTTGTATAGTACTTAAAATAGTGGTTTATTTCACCTTATTTTGGGTTCCACAGATGGATGTAACTGAATTCCAATTTGCATTGATGTTCTCAATTACACTCATTCTGAATTCCATTGATAACCAATACTGAATAAGTTATGAAATAATGAATCTTCAAGCAGTACTAACGCACCCACATAAGGGGCCATAGGTCAAAAGAGGTGGACTACCACAAATAACAACTTATACCCGTTTCAAAATAGGTGACTGTCATGCCTTAGTAGCTTTGCCATCATCAGTCAATGGGATCCAGACACATCCAGCTAAGTAGTCGCAGACAGCATAAAAAGTGGGTTATGAATCCGACCGTTAGCCACTATTCAAAACAGTCAGTGATTTTTTACTCAGTAAATACAAACAAATTGATGAATATGTTAGCATCATGAAGAATAAAAGAGCTAAATCTGTCACATCAAACATAAACAAAAGTTTTGAACCCGTCGACATACAGCGTAAATTTACTGTTCGTCTCCATAAATTTGCGTTTAACTATTAAAGAGTTACCTTATTGACAAAATAACAAGTCGCTTTATCTCTGAGGTTACAACTCCTTAATGTGAATTTCAGTGCTAACCTTCCTTAATGAGTGAAACAATGGGACTTGAGCACTTTGGTAGTTTGTAAATCTAACCAGTCAAACAAGCGATAGGAATCGAGTCTCAGATGGAACTGCATCACTTCGTAATCCAATAACTTTGATTGTTGCCAACATTGCCTAAACACAGAGACAAGAGTCGACCACTTCCTACGGAAAGAATTTAAATAACAGCTAAAGAACCAACATGAAGGGATTCAGTAAAAACAACATTTAAACAATGGTACAGGAGTGGTTGTGACCTTGACCTCGGCTTCAGATAATTTAAACAATTCCCAAAAATCAGTTGGTACTCACTTCAGCGTAAACTAGATCACCAATACGACAAGAGAATGGTACATTGGCACCCATTCGTGTATAATCCAAGAATGATGTTGCTCCACAACACTTTAACTAAACAAAAAATTGTCATACGATTATTTTTGTTCTAATTTTTTATAAGTAACTTACATTTCCTTGCAACTTGTCAAAATCTGTTTGAATATCATGTCTATAATAATAATATCTAACAGCACTGCGTAATGCATCATGTGCCATAATGGGGAACTATAAAGAATTAAATTCTGGTGTTAGAATTGATTCTGTTCAATTGTCAACAAACCAACTTTATCATGTACCACAGCAGATGCTGTTGCTATAGCGAAGTCAATAATCGTAGCAACACCTAAACCAACAAGATGCTAAATAAAAACATTATTGTATTATGATGAATATAATTAAAATATACTTACCAAAATGAAGAAAATAGGTTTTTGTTTAAATACACCAACAAATCCTATACATCCAGTTAGAATACTGAATATCCCGGTGAAAATGATAGTTGGAAAGATGGCTGGTGTTGAAGCTTGTATAATTGTATTATACTTTGCAAAAGTTGTCTGTGCTTTAATACCAATAACGAATAGTATAAAACCAAACAACTAGATTTGACAATAAAGTTAAAATGAACACCACTACCAACTCACAATAAAGATACTATTAAAAACGATGAAGATAATTTTCCATAATCTTTCAGCTAATGATACATTCATTGTGTTCAATGTTTTCCTACTGATAACAGAAATTTGTCAAGCAACGTTTAGACTCTGTAGATTGTGTATATAATTTTTGTTGATAAAATTGTATTTCATACTCACCTATTAAGTTAACACACAATTGAGTTGATATGTGTGTACGTGTATGTTTATGTATTGCATATACTTACCTATCTACTGATCCCGTTCACTATATTTCACTTGATCAGATCGAAGGAAAAACACAATAAATAGTTCCATTTTTCTTTCCTTAATCTTTTGTAACGAATAATAAACTGTTCAGTTTAGGTGTCAGTTAGCACATACTTCTACAGTAGACAATTCACATGGTGAAAGGATTCGTGGGTGTTATATATGAGAAACATCTAAGTATATATTCATATGTTGACATGTAGCATATCTTTCTTAATGAAAGCGAATTCATACATGTATATGTGTGTGTATCTTCATGCATTTACTGTAAAGCAATGAAATCACTATTATTTACACACTAAAAATGCTCATCTTTTGATTGACTTTTCAGTTTATTACTAGTACTAAATGTAGTAATCTCCAATTGCATACACAATGTTCTTGATTTTGTGATGAAGTGTTCAATTGTTCAATGGATTTTGTTTAATCAATTAAAAGCATTAAATAGTAAGTAATTCAATGACGGCTGGATGTTGGATGACATATAGTTCCATATCAGATTCTTTCCCTGTATGTCAGTATTTTACGATGAAATTGCACAACTGTGTTATTAAGCAAGTGACTTCATGTCACTATGCAATTTTGTAATGTCTCAGTTAAGATTCAATGTGAAAGTTTGTGGAGATTTATTAATTGATTTCAGGATGGAATTCATCTGGGACTGACATCAGTTGGAGGAAAATTCGAAACCTTGGAGCACTGGACAGATGTTTCGTCTCTAGTATGGACCATTGGATTCCGAATCAATGGCTCAGTTGTAACGTACTGGCCATAAGACCTGAAGGTTCTGAGTTCGATCCCTGGTGGGGTCATGGGTGCGTACTGCCGAGGAGTCCCACACCAGGATGAAACAGCTGCTATCCAGCACTCCCATGTTTCCAATATTACTCTAACTGATGTCCATCCATGGTGAATTCTAGCCTGGAATCTGTGACTTAGAAATTGAAGGTGAGCTAGCAATGTTGGATTGCGAGATTAAACGAACACAAGACGGAAGTCTAAAGACTAGTGTCTATAGGAAACCTTCCAATTTGAGTCGCTACTTAGACTTTAAATCCTACCACCCCATTGCAGTTAAAGTAGGCTTAGTTAAATGCCTGAGTCATAGGGCAAAACAGTAGTAGTAGTAGTAGTAGTAGTAGTAGTAGTAGTAGTAGTAGTAGTAGTAGTAGTAGTAGTAGTAGTAGTAGTAGTAGTAGTAGTAGTAGTAGTAGTAGTAGTAGTAGTAGTAGTAGTAGTAGTAGTAGTAGTAGTAGTAGTAGTAGTAGTAGTAGTAGTAGTAGTAGTAGTAGTAGTAGTAGTAGTAGTAGTAGTAGTAGTAGTAGTAGTAGTAGTAGTAGTAGTAGTAGTAGTAGTAGTAGTAGTAGTAGTAGTAGTAGTAGTAGTAGTAGTAGTAGTAGTAGTAGTAGTAGTAGTAGTAGTAGTAGTAGTAGTAGTAGTAGTAGTAGTAGTAGTAGTAGTAGTAGTAGTAGTAGTAGTAGTAGTAGTAGTAGTAGTAGTAGTAGTAGTAGTAGTAGTAGTAGTAATACAGGTGTCATTAGCAATAATCTTACTACTAATAATTGTGGCAGGGTTGCGAAAGAATTCATAGCCTCTGCTGTGTTACCATACAAGGAAGGCACCTCAGAAACATTACGAAGAATTCTCAATAAGGCTGGCTCGAATTAAAGTGTCTGGCATTTAAACCAACAAACTCACTCACAAACAACCTCTGTAGGTTACAAGATCCTATCGATGCAATTTAGCAAAATAATCTGGTTTACCAAATCCCTTGAATTGATTGCCAGGTCAAACACATAGGCTATTCAAAGTGGTCGACCAGGGTCGATTAGAAGGCTGTGGGTGCCATAGGTGTAAATAGTTGCCTTTCAACCAATGGTAGAAGGGTTCGGACATAGCTCCACCCTTTTTATATTATGCAGCTTGGTAGTATCATTAGCCATCACACAATAGATGTGGCTTATTGTCTTTTATCCAAGGGTGTACTTGATCACTGACTGCATTTCGGTACTGAGGGAGAAGTTCTATGGTATTTTCGCTACCAATGCCTACGTCTTGTGACATTATACCAATATAAAGGATGTACTGGTGAAGAACGATCTTCGTAAGATATTAAGGTACAAGTATTCTGATGAAAACAAATAAAATGGGGGTAGTAATTACAGTCCTCATAAAACAGGTCATCACCATATGGCAATCCACGGTAGACTTACATCAGATGGTTAACTGTCGTTCAAAGAAGGCTTTAAATCAAACTTTATGTCAAGTGATCACCTATTCATCGACATAATAGTAAGAGAAATGCAAAACACATGACTAGGTAACACATTCACTCGCTGTCATCATCATCATAGGACCAAGCATATCTGCAGAACAGTCCAATATGCTACACCTCATATCAGCATATCAATTAACAAGACAATTAACTGGAAGATGAAGAAGGAAAGAAAAATCGGTCAAAAAAAGTGGAGGCAGAAAGTAGTAAAGGAGAGGAAAGGAGACGGAGAAGATGACGGGACTAAGTATAGCGATTAAGATGAAGATAATGTGTGTGAACATCTGCACCACCGACATAGATTCTTAGCCATATCTCCAACCCATGGTTTCTCTTGTCCCGTGGACGCCAACCGGCTTGTCCGCATCGCCCTACATAACACAAACCAATAGTAAAAGACTACATATATTGATGCCATGTTTTAGTCTGGCCATCCGGAGCTCCTTTTAGGCCTGCACCTACTTCGGTCAACATTGCGTCAAGGGCAAACGGTGGTTATCTATACATCACGCATGTCCTAGTCATCTCAATCGATGAAGGTTCACAAGAATATTAACTGTCTCACCTCTTCGACATAAAACTCAACACCTGACTTATGCGTTACTCATATGGTGACACTACGAAACACACCCAGTGCTACGAAGGCAGCAGTGGTCAAACACCTGAAGCCTTCTCATGTCTTCTACCTTCAAGGGCCATGTTTCACAGCCATACAGTAGAACAAAGCGGACTTCAGCATAGTACACTCCGTTCGTGATAGACAGTCAGATATAAAAGCAGAAAGTGTAAGTTGGCAAACGCCAACCAAGCCTTTTGTATCCGTGCAGAGATGTCGTCGGCCACTGACCAACGCACCACGGTTGATCCGGCTTCCCAGTAAGTGAAGTGTTCAACGCGCTCAACCAATTCACCCCTACTGTTGGTCCAGGTGCCGTCGAGGACCAGTCACCCAGCAGTAATTTACATTTGGCTGGCAAGAAACGCATCTCCAACATTCTCAAATTGCCACTCAAGGTGTCTAGAAGACTCTGTATCTTGTCAGCATCTTCACCTAACACGACTATGTCATCTGTGCATTCCAATTTACTGACTTACTGAGAGAAGTCAGTAATCTCTCTCATATCCATTCTAATCTGTTAATGCAGACGAATACGTTTGACTTATGAGAAGATATCTGCTGGCTCACGTTATATAATGCTGTCTTGAATGCATTCATGAACTAACTACAGATAATTAATTTTGTGTTATTTAGTGTCAAGTGCCGAATGAATTCCACTGATCATTATGAACTGTGCTTACTAAGCTAGCAAACTTCTAATCGCATGACTGTGCTTATTTGCTGCAGTAATTTTACTGACTGATTCCGATGACCAAAGATAATTTAACCTACTAAATAGAATAGTAGGCTGGCTCTATATGCTATTTCATGACGCGGCTCCCATTTATTCTTTATGGAATAATCTACATATGTGTCCGTGGGTAGACTACTAGGTTTTACCTCTTAGAGGAACAAGCTGCACCCTTAGGTATAAAAAAGTTGAGCGAAGACAGGTTAATGATGCCCCTACATATCAGGAGGTACATGTGTACTACAATGACGGTACCAGCCAGTAAAGGAACCTGGTGTGAAAGAGTTAAGTTAATTGTTTTATCACCGTAGTGAATGGGACTGAGGCTTGCAGTTATTCTCTGTCAGCCAGAAATTCCCAGTAAATTACAGTCATAAGCTTGTACTAAATACGTCTTTTCCCTTTATATATACCGTTTGTCACCCTTACCGATTGTGAAGCATCCTGTCAACTGCCTGTAACCATCTGACATCATGCCAATTGATCGATAAGTTCAATAATAGACCGAATCTCAACGTACAGTGTCGAAAAACGTTTTAGCAGCGTCTATAAACAAACTAATTAAAAGCCATCATGCTATTCAACTTGGACGTTTATATGAACTTACTTACTGGTTCTTAGTTGGTATTCGTCAAGGAGTGACATCAGCAGGAGAAGCATTGAAAACGTAGGATCCCTGGATGGCTATTTCGTCCTGGCACAAGACTCCCCAACAGTGCACGCCTGATGGACAGAACCGAGTTGCACTTGTATTGGATGGGAGTTGCGCTATGTTGTGAACTGATAGAACTAGGAAATCTGGACTGTTGAACCAGGACCCACTGGCTTAATTGTAACCAGCTGGACACGAAACCTCAAGGTCCTGAGTTCGACACGTGGTGACGTCATGAGTATGCACTGGTAAGTAATCCTGTACCATGACAAAATAGCTCTGCAGAGCTCTTTCAATGTTTCCCCAAATAATGTCAGTGCATGATGAATACTAACTTGAAAATAATTATATTATTTCTTGATAATTTCTCATCACTGATTAGACTGAATCGATCATTCTGTAGTGGGATATGGTTCCAGTTCAGATGCTTCAACGTTGACTAAAGTTTCAGTTTGATAGTAAAGTAAGAGTATCTATTAGCTAACAGTGGAATCCAGGACTTTCTTCCGCTGAATATGCCTGTCTCCCAACAAGTGATAGTGTCCTCCTTAAAACTCAAATCCAGGGCGATCACCTCGAACGTCAGAACACCATCCACTAGGCTACTGAGTTATGATAACCACTGGTAATGTGATTTCGTGACTTTATAGTCTCTTGAAAGTACTTGAAACGATTAACTTCCTATTCTACACAGTTGCTAAGTGGTTGACTATAATTCTTCAGTTACTCTGGAAAGATATAAATAAACACAGTTTACTTGATACTAAATTACCTGCATAATTACACATTTGTCAATTTTCTAATAGAAAAGATGATAAAATGAGTCAGTTAAGCTGCAAATGAA